ATGGACGAGTTGCAGCGCGTGATGTGCGATGCAATGGGACGCTCTATTTAATTTGACGCGAGATCCCTATAGATTTATGTGCGCGACTCGTCCACTGACTTTGCCTTCTTCGAGGGGCTTCCCGGGGGTACCCTTGTCCCACTCGGCGAACATAGTGGCACCCACCGGTAGGTGCCATTGTCGTCAAAGGACTAATAAGTGCCGGCCAAGGGTTCACAGCCGTGGTGTCGCATATGTATCGCAGAAGACACCGAAGCGTGGGAATGTAATCGAATCTATTCGGTTGGATACGGTATGTTCAATATCGCGAAGGCCGTAGCAGAGACATCTAAGTTTGCTGGGGACTCTTAACCGGTCGCGGTGAAAGGCTTTGTCGCGTAAGAGAACTCAATTTGCTATGTGAATAGTACAAGAAATGTGATTTCAGTCTTAAATGTGCGTGCTTCTTTAAATTCTTTTTCTCTTTATACTTATGCCTCCTTGACTTTTGACGACCCTGCTACAGTTCAACGGACTTATCGGAACAATCGTCATTCGCCCTCTGTAGATTTTTATATGAACCCTTTGAAACGGTAAATTTTGGAAGGAAGTACTGAGTCCAAGGCGGATCCTGGAATGCTCTAAGCGCTTAGATTTTCATGCCCCTTAGGTTTCCAAGGGTCTATTCTAGTTAGGTATGAGGGCATTATGATGCAGTGTCTCCAGAAAGTTAGAGTAACTCCGAGTTAGAAGAAGTGCCATCTGTGGGATGGGAGGTGGGGGGGGGGGGGGGGGGGGGGTGAGGGCAGTCACTTGACATGCGTGAAAAGCTGGAATGTTCGAGTTCACACTAGTTCGCCGAGAAACTGCATCATGATGCCCCCTAACTGGAATAGACCCTTCCAACCTTATAAGTTAAGACCGAGGGCTCACCAGCAGAGAGGTTCTGGTGGCATTGCAGCTATCAAGTCCGTAGGATTGTATCTCATTGAACTTACCGCCTTCATTCGATCTTTAGTAAAATAATACATAAGTAATATTATAGTTAAGTGGCTCTCTTGAGTCTGTAGAGGTGGCAACATCGCTTCGAATGCCGTCAAGCGTTGTCATTTTACAGGCTTGAAACAATTCAAAGTAACTGAATGGAATATCTCGGTAAGCGCAGTGCGCACCCCAAAGAAGTTTCGATACTGTCCATATCCCTTAAAAAAATCCGAGCATTTCACCATATTGGAAGTGTCCATCTGAAGTAATACTGATATCGCAAATCACTGCCAAGCACTGATATTGGCATATTTCAGGCGTGGGTAATATGAACGAGTTCTCCTCCGCCGAGTTCAATTTCGGTGCTGATCCAGAAGCTGCCAAAATCGTCATAGAAGAGATGAACACTCCAATCACCATGGTGCCGTGGGAAAACGCGTACTTGAATGGAGCCCAGGTAGGTGTTCCTTCACCGTTCCGATTCAAATATGTAGTTAGCAGACCTCTGCAATCAGATACAAACCAAACCAAATGCCTCCATATCAATCCACTCGGGTTCGGGAATACAACGGCAACCTATCACTTTGAGAAGGGCCTATGGTGAAACTCCAGTTCGGGGGGGGGCACTCCATTGCTATCTTATCCGTAGTACTAGAGAGCAGTTCTTTGGGCTATCGAACACTACGGATAAGATAATAAGTGAACGACTCATTTCGAGCGTACTTTTGATAAGGACCGGTGGATGTCCTACATTCCACACTACCTGCCCACATCCCATCCACTTTTCTGCACAGGTGATCCACCCTGGAGCTCCTGCACCCTTAGCCCTTGCGGAGGTGTCCATTCTCCTGGTCCAGGACCGTTCCCTTGGACCATGACAGGCAAAAATGGGTTTTTGCCTGTCATGGTCCAAGGGAAAAAATGGGATCTCAGGGTTCCTTCCGCATTACACGATGCTTATCAGAAGTATTAAATCAGTGGATTACGTGTAAAAAGCGCTCTCTTTCTTATCTTACTCGTGGAGAAACAATGGAGTGTCCCCCCCCCCGAACTGGAGTTTAACAGGGGCCTATCAACTCACACTGAAGTAATCCGAAGTAAAACTACTTTAACTGTTCCATTCGAACTTTTATAAAGGACACAGGGGCCTATTCACGAATGTTCCTGTTCACCACGCTCACAATTCGGGGATGGAATACGCGAGAGGGCTTGCTATACGAGGAGGTATAAGTATCGGCTGTTGCAGCGAACAATAGAAGAGCCATTCAGGGTCAGTAATCCTGATCGCTGGCAAGGTTCTAGTCCCGTTGCCGTGCGCTTTCGAGCAGTCAGAGCAGCAGATCTGCGACCTTGTCCTATCTTCACCAAAGGGATCACCCTAGTTGACATATCGTTGAGTGTGCCTTTGAATGACCAACACGGTCCGTCTGTGCTAGCAGGAAGCCGTTACGAAGAAAATGTTCCAGTTCCCTAGATATTATTCATAAATTGAGAACTGTTTTAAGCACGAAAAGCTGGTTGACTTCGAGGCTCATCTCAGAGTGGATACTCCGTTGGCGTCATTCCTAACAATGGCAACACGTATCGGTAAGTAATGGTAGAAAAGTTGGTTTTCATTCAGGACTAGGAAGATTTTTTGAGAAGAAACCTATTTTGTAGTACCTCAACGCTTTGTAAAATAAACGTGTGCATACTAGCATCGGGGCGGGGTCGCCCGTCCACTTAATGGCACGGTCGCGATCGGCTTAGTGTATTATTTAATCCCAAAATTAGACAAAGAACTGCGAAGGGAAGTCAAGGGGGAATACAACAAGGAGCGTAGAAAACACTAAAATTTTCTTCGTGAGGTCCACCGCGGTACGACGAAAAGAAACAGCGCTGCGGAGAGAGGAAAGACGCCAAAGAGCACGTCGTACCTAAATAAAAGACATGTAAGCGCGCGGTCGTGTGATGCGGCAATCACCGCACAGACACGAATCTAGAAATCCGGCTTTGTGGAAAGGTTACAATTAATATCAAAGCTCACCATCACGAAAGCTCGATTATATCCATCTATGGCCCTATTTGTTCAAGTTTTTATCACAGACCAGTGTTCCTTTAGGACATGGCGTAATGGCTAAGAGCGGCCGCCAGTATGGTTACTGTGACGAAATTGCTGTTGCCGTAGCCATCGATGAAAAAGCTATAGCAACGAAAACGATGGATTTGCGTCTCGGTATAGAAGTGAATGGACAAATGACGAGGTACGTGGTCGAAATTCCAACTACTTCAAGGGAGCTTGCTCTCTAATGTCAGCACCTCATTCCTTTAAAATTACATAATCATGCATTAGGGACGAAATTGTGACGCCCTCGGGGAAGGGGAAGATGTCGTGCAGCAGGCCGCCGCACAGTGAAGGCAGATGTCAGACTTTGCGACCAATCGCAAGTGAATCGCGCGATTCGAGCAGTTCCATAGATTTCACTCTCGCACATCATTTCTACGCTCTACCCCCTGCATTCGCATCGAAATGTTTAATAAGAATCTACCGCATGAATTCCTGTAGAACCTTCCCCTCCTCATCACTTTGAACTCTCTTGTTATAGGTTCATGAGAAAGTCCTTCAAACCCGTCAGTACAGAAAGACCGTGGCCAAGTGCAGGCTTTTCAGTGTAATGCCGTGACATTAAGAGCTTAATTGTCAGCCGCCATAACCTAGTTGAAAGGACGCTAAAAGCTACGCAACACACCAAAAACGCACTGCTCATTGCGTGGTGGACCTCTTGCACAATACCCCTCAAAACTTGATGGGAAAGGGCTCTCGTCATGCCCATCGGACAACATCAGAATAGCCTTTTAGCTGAATTCGCAGTTTTCAGGGAGAGGCACGTAGTGCAGTGGTTCATGCCATCTACAGTAATCCAATCCTTGCAGGGGAGAAACTTTTTATGAGAGTGCGGGAAAGAAACGCTCATGCACCCCAAAGCTTTCTCCCATACCGAAATTAGGATCACTGTAGGCTGCACGAACTATTTAACCACATCAGCCCCTCCTCCCCCCCCCCCGCCCGTCCTGTGCATGGCCAAAAAACTCACATGAACGCATCGTGTTTAAAACTTGTTGCATGCAGAGAGAGCCATTCTTGGATTGCTTTCTTGCTGGCGGTTGATCTTCAAAATCGAAAACCTTAAAGTAGGAGTCATCAGGGGCTTAGGGTACACCATTTTTTACGTTACTGCAACTAATATTTTCATTCCAACCCTGCTGGTGCTCTTCTGCAGAAGTTCCAATCGTTACTTCAAATAGAGCATCGACAAGGCCAATATTAGTCACCTTTACCGAACGTAGATCACATGAAGCAGAATCGTCCTACTACTGTAAATACCGTATCCTCACCACTACCTATGCCTGTGGGCTCCCGGCTTTTCGGACTTCTGTTGTTCTTCCCAGCGAAGACATACATATTTCAGAGGTCAAGTGGTCGTCGATTGGTGTGGTGTACTGTATGGGCATGACGGTACATTGATTGACGCCACTACAGCCCATGAAGTGGACCGAACACGACCTACCGTTCACGTTATAGTTAATTATGATGTGAATATGCTTGACGCATGGATGCACAATACCGTACTCAGCAAAAAAGAACCATGGTGATATCACTCACCTCGTATTTGTTGTACTTAAAGGCTTATTACCCGCGAGACTGTGAACAGGCTTATTTATTCCGGGTGTCCCCCAAGAGGCCCGTCGCGCGAAGGAAGAGACGCAGATGCGGCAAAGGACGAGTCGCAGCGCGTGCTGTGCGATATGAGACGTAGTATGGTACACTCTATTTAACCTGACGCCTAACCGCTACAGTATGCGCTGCGACTCGTCCTTTGCCGCGTCTGCGTCTCTTCCTTCGCCGCGCGACGGGCCTCTTGGGGGACACCCATTCATTCGTCTTTTTCCGTGTGTACTATACGATATAATCAACAGCAATCAACAGCGATGTCGCATTTTATTCTCGCATTTTCCCCATGAAAATAAAGTAATTCCGATCTTCATGATTTCTAATTTGTAAGTTTTTGGAATGATTTCTGAATTTCAGCCTGGAACTGGAAAGTTTAGCTCGAAGTCTGTGATTACTGCCTTTCCCATCAGCACATCCCTGAGAAAAAAGTAAGACGCCAATGTCTAGTTCACCTCGAATATTTCCCCTTCCCCCCCCCC